GTTATGCGGCAGGGCTCGACCTACCGCTATGTTGCTGCAGGTCCCACCACGTAGCAACCCTTGGAGGCTGATATCTTCCCTAGAGTGGCGCGCGTGGGACACAACGCTAGAGCCTACTCGCGCCCATAATAGTGGACGACTGACTCCTTTAATTAGTCACTCGCAAAATCTAAAGATTACCATAGTGACGAATATTCAAGATAATATGAAGCATGATTACTCATGTCCTGTATTAAAATAAATTTCACTTTTAGTGGTTGAGTAACCGTTTGATGTTATATCCGTCGCGGGTTAGATTTCTACTCGAAACAACACTCGCAGTAGACATCTTATTGTTCTGGATCTAGGTGTGACGTATATTTGAATCTGTATGTTTATAATCACACCTACGTCACGTGAAAAAAACATATACACCGTCTTTCTTCGTATTCTTATACCGAAATGCTTATAAACTGAACATTATCTTTGAAATCGATTCACTATTACTTGTCTACTTGTAGAATAGAAAACCAAATTATATGGAATTGACGTAAATTTTGACACTTGTGTATATGAATATATACAATTTGATTTCTACTCTATAGACAAGCGCTAACGTGGCGTTTGGCTAAAGGCCCTGGTTGGTTGGTGACCAACACTGGTTTACTAACGAGAAATACTGAGACAAGCTATACTAGTTTCAAGTCACAGAGGGACTCTCCCTCATGAGTTACGTCAATAGTATATCGTACGGTAATTATTATAAAAACTGTTTACCATGTATTTATTTTGTTATTTATTTCGTTCAAAATAAATAATTACGAAAATTTTAATCGAATCAAGTATGACATACCTACCTACGATATTATTATTTGTGTAAAAATAGAAGTGATGTAATATTTTCGAAATTCTAGGTCTAATGGACTGTTTTGTACGTAATGTAAAAGACATTTGAAATTTAAATTTAATAAAACAGAACAATACGAGCAATAAAGGTGGAATAAGTGAAATGTTTTTTGATCGGCCATTTTCCGTCCACAGCTATACCTAAACATGCCACAGGCCACTCCAATAGCATAGGCTCCGAAACTACGGTACCGATTTGAAAATTCTTTTACCGTTGGAATGATGAACATAGGCTATATTTAATAAAAGAGGAAAAAGGGACTGCCTCGTTGGCCGAGTGGTCGCAAGTGCGACTGCCGGGCAAGGGGTCTCGGGTTCGATACCCGGGTCGAGCAAAGTATTACTGGGTTTTTAAAAATCTCAGTAGTAGCAGGGAGTCTGGAAATGTGCCCGGTATATGGCAATAAGCTCACCCCTTATTACATGGGACTCGTAACATAAATAATGAAAAGTGGGTGTTACATTGTATAGTGGCATTAAGTGCCGTAATGTGCACCTCTGCCTACCCCTTCGGGGATAAAAAGGCGTGATGTTATTTATGTAGGAAAACTACTTTGTTAGACTGCACGGTTGGTACGGTGGCTGGGCGACCGGCTGCCGTGCAGCGTGTCACGGGTTCGATTCCCGCACGGTACAACACTTTGTGTAATCCACAAATTGTTGTTTCGGGTCTGGGTGTCATTGTGTATGTGAACTTGTATGTTTGTAAACGCACCCACGACACAGGAAAAAATCCTATTGTGGAGCAATGTTTAAAAAAAAGAAAAGAAAGATTATACCTACGTAATATTTATGTAGGAAAAAGGAAATCATGTGAAAATTTCGATTGTTACTTTTTTTTTAATCACGAATTAGAACAACATTTTTCAATAAATATAACTCGATCTAGACTGATGATCTCATCATCATCAGAAATAAACATTTGTTCTGCTTCATCAACATTTGTTGTTCTGTGTCATCATGATAATGAACAAATCATTGTCCCACAGCATTGGAATGAACCTCGGTAAAGACTAATTAAAAAATCCAAAATTCGCCAGAAGTCAATGTTATACGCGGACGAAGTCGCGAGGAACAGCTAGTTTTATTATAAAATGTTGATAGCACTATAATCTCGTTACCGTTCCGAGCAATTAGCATTGTGGCACGTGGATTTTCTAGTATTTTTAGGCCCAAAATTAAAACTAATGAATTATGGGCTATTGTTCTTATTATGGATTTTAACATATTTATATACAATCATATACTTATACATATACATACACTCAATATTTTTTTTATTTAGCATCAGTCAAATTTTATAGGTTCCAATTTGCCAGTAGTAATTGAGCAACTTCCTCTGTAAGACATTGTTTAGAAATTGTATTGGTATATCTAGTTTAGAATTTGTTCGTTTTTATAATTGTGAAAGCAAAATTTCATTTATTACATAGGTAGTTAGGTTTCATTCGCGATGGCATCGGAAACAGTGGATCCCGCGCAAGCTTTCATGGCGGAGATAACTGACCGGTTTAAACCGTTGCATGACATAACTGCTCGCGGAACATCCAGTGTGCAGCAGTTTTACAGCGGAGCTACCGTATTCCTGACTGGAGGATCAGGACATATAGGAAAGCAGTTGATTGAAAAACTTTTAAGGTAACATAAAAGATCCACTTCATTTATATTTTTGATGATTTTATAATTTAAATGACTGCCTCGTCAGCCAAGTGGTTGCAAGTGCGACTGCCGGGCAAGGGGTCTCGGGTTCGATTCCCGGGTCGGGCATTGTTACTAGGTTTTGAAAAACATTCTCAGTGATAGCACGGAGTCTGGAATTGTGCCCGGTATATGGCAATAGGATCACTCCCTATTACACGGGACTCACAACATAAAATAGTGAAAAGTGGGTGTTACATGGTACAATGGTATTGGTACTTGTGTTATAGAATGCGTGATGTTATGTTATGTATAAATTACTGGTTTATGTTGATTAGTTACTGGTGGATACGTCTAATTCAGACATAATCATTATTATTTTGTCTGTTTATTAAGTTGAAGCTGTGGGCCATTTTTTAACCGACTTCATAAAATTAATTTTTGCTTTCAGAGCAACAAACGTCTCTAAAGTGTATATCTTACTGAGATGCAAAAAGGGAAAATCTATACAACAGAGATTAGCGGACATAATAAAAGATTCAGTAAGTCATAAACAGCAAACATTCGTTTCTTTTTTTTATGGCATAAGCCGGTACACGAGCAGACGGATCACCTGATGGTAAGCAATCGGCATCGCCTATAGACACCTGGTACACCAGACGCGTTACAAGTGCATTAGCGGCCTTTTGGGGATTAGGAGTTTGAGGATCGTTGGGGATTCAGGGATTGGGGAGATTGGGGAAGGGGAGGGTGATTGGGCCTCCGGTAACCTCACTCACACGACGAAACACAACGCAAGCGTTGCTGTACGTCGGTTTTCTGTGAGGCCGTGGTATCACTCCGGTCGAGCCGGCCCATTCGGCCCATTCTCAGTTATATTTTACTAACAAATTTGGACATGGTTTGAATTATTATTATTATAATAAAATAATAGGTATATAAACATGGTCTACAAATTGATTATGCGTTATTAATATTGTGTTTATTAAATGCCATAAATAAAAAATAATATGCTTGTAAGTAATGTCGTTTAATATATTTTGATATTGACAATTATTTACAGTTGTATGACACGGTTCGAGAGCACCTGCCAAATTTTCCCGACAAAATAGTTGCTGTGTCTGGAGATACATCCGAACTAAAGCTTGGCATGAGTGATAAAGACTGGCTCACTCTTACTGATCAGGTTAGTTATAACAATTTAGTGTCCGTATAAATCATGTCTTGTTTTTTGATGAGTAACCCAGTCGCAGGTCTGCGAAAGGGGTTGATATTTTTATAGAAATATGCAGATGCAGTACCCGTAGATCTTATTTGACTCATATATTTTCTTGTAAACAGTACGTGAAGTGATGTAAATAGATAAAAATTTCCCATCGACAATTATAAAGTGAAAACTTTGACAGAAGTGGATCGAAACCTGATCATCATAATATCTTCAGAGGATGCTGTTAACGTCTCTCAGTGGCTAGTTAGAAATTATGGACATTGGACTTACCCGAAGCCCAATTTTATAAACGACCAGACGGATCACCTGATGGTAAACAATCGGCGTCGCCTGGAACACCAGCGGCGTTACAAGTGCGTTACCGGCATTTTGGGGATTCAGGAATTAGGGAGATTGGGGAAGAGGAGGGTAATAGTTTCAAAATAAAGGTACGTTTTATACCAATCTATACGCAGGTGGACATAATATTCCATTTGGCTGCAACTACAAGATTTGATGAAACTCTCAAGGCAGCAACTTTCATCAATATTCGTGGAACAAGAGAGATACTTGAATTAGGCAAGTCTTGCAAAAAATTAAGGTATGTGCATTGTGCAGTGTAAAGACGTATTATTTTTTTTGGGTTTCTTTTGTTATTATAGCTAGAAGATTCACTGTGCGGCTGACGTCACACTATAATATTCTTAAATATAAGCCCCTAACATAGGTTGAAAGTACGCGACTTATCTTGTAAGTAGCATTTACGCCGAGCTGGACCTGTTTTGGTGCAGCTGTCAGGCAATATTATTATTGTTGGTGAGCCGCGGAAGGCTGAACGGGTTACCGGGGCTCCGGCTCGAAGGACAGTTGTACGAACGGGGTGGTTCTTAGTCAGTAAAAATCTGAAACTCGCTTTCGCTCTTTTTTTTATAAAGCGATGGAAATCCCCATTGATTCCCCACGTCGCCGGGATGTGTACCGGACTTTTCACGGGGCTAAAATCACCGCGGTGTTCCTCCTCTGCCTAGCACCCGGCAGGCCTCGACCTATACACTGCTATATTGTGTTAGGTCTCATCACCTAGCAACTCTCAGAGGCTGCAATTTCCTTCCTCGAGTGGACACTAACGCCTACTCTTGCCCATACAGCGGACGATTAACTTCCTTAATAAGTCGCCTGGCCTCTCCTATGGAGGTCGCAGATCGGCTACCACCTCGCAGTGTTGACGGCCGGCGTATCTACGGCTGGCGCGTCTACGGCCGGAAGGGAGATAGCTGGATACCTTCCTCTCCATTTTAGCCACCTCCTTGACAATATGACACTTTCACAGAAGGAAGCAACTCCATCCCATGCATCCTTACTGTCAACCAATGCTCAATGAGAGATCATTCCCACTCCCCCTCGAGTAATCCAAGGCGGGAGAATTCATTTGATGATTTGACCCTTCAAAAAAATTGTTAGTGTATTTAACTTCGACATTTTTGTATATACCTACATTTATTTTGAGTTCCTTTTTTATTTACCCTTGTTGTTTGCATTGTATTGTATTGTTTGTGCCTGGAGTTATTTTAAATAAATTACTTTTTTTTCTTTATAAGTTAATATAACATAATATGCATTTATCTCACGACAGTTATAATACAAAAAATAAGTGTCTATTTCTATGCAGATCTTTTGTTCACGTATCGACAGTGTACACACATGCTTGTCCAGATCGCATGTACGGTGAAATATTGGAAAAATTCTACCCAAGTCCAATTAGTCCTATTACAATGATTGGCATAGCTGAAACTATGGATGAAAAAAGAATAAATGATATTATATCAAGGTGAGTCATAGTTAGGGTTGCCAGCCGTACTTTATAATAAAGTATTGTACGTTAGGCAAGGTGATTGTACTCTATACTTTGTAAGAATAATAAAGTACACGAAAATACTTTACTTTTGCAAACTTCATTTCTATTAATGTCGTATGTATTTTTCGGTAACTAAACTTATCGATTCGATATGGATATTTATCGATTTATGTTGAATCTATTTCGCTATTCGCCAGCGCTACCTAGACAATTTCTAGTAAAGATGCAATTGTTTAGTATTTCAATGCAATTGTTTAATAAAGATACTAATTTAATACAAACTGCAAAAAGCAATAAAAAATATTTTTCAATATAGGTAATACTAAATAAGAATAAATTGTACTTTATTTTTGTACTATGTACTTTTTTTTTCTTACCTATAATCGTCAATGTAATTTATATACCAGAAAAAAGGTGGCAACCCTAGTCATGGTACACCTATAGGAGACAAGCAGTAGATGTTTACAAAATAAAAGCCAATTGTATCTTTTTCAGTTTGATAAAAAAATGGCCTAACACGTATACGTTTACTAAAGCAGTTTCTGAAGAGCTAGTTAACACAATGGGTAAAGATCTACCGATTTGTGTGGTTAGACCGGCAATTGGTAAGTATTTTTGGAGATTTGTTTTTCAATAAATTATTGTGGCCTGGAGGATTAGATTAAGACCCCCGCTTCTCATGTATGAGGGTGCGGGTTCGAAACCTACCAACGGCAAATATTAATGTGACAATTTCCAAGTTATATGTACTTTCTAAGATTATATACACCACTGACAAACGGTGAAGGAAAACATCGTGAGGAAACCTAGGCTTATAATTTCTAATTGTAAGTTTGTAATGACCAACCCGCATTGAGCAAGCGTGGTGATTAGTGCAGTGGGCATTTATAGGCTGTTGATGATGATGATGAAATTAATGTAGATATTTCAGTGATATCTTTAGAAGTTTTTTTTTTCTCATTTGCAAACGAGTGTTTTTTTTTTGTTTATTACAGTTGCGTGCACAATACAAGAACCAAGTCCAGGGTGGTTAGATTCATCTTGTATGTATGGAGCTAGTGGTGTAAGTTATTTATTTTTGTAATTGAGTATTGTACTTCTAACTATGATTTATAATGATGGTGACAATTCCGAACATTAATGTGACAAAAATCTAAGTAAAAAGTAATAAATTATTTCAGGTAATTTTCGCAGCTGGCTTAGGCGTTTTACATACTTTATACATTAACGATCAAACTAAAATGGAAGTGGTACCAGTAGACTATGTAAACAATACCATACTTGCTGCTGCATGGGAGACAGCTAGGACTAAAAGATCAATACTAGAAGAAAATGAAATAAAAATTTATACAGTCGCTCCGTCTACTAGAAATCCCACTAGTTGGAGTAAGTAATAATTATGTTATATGAATAAAATAACAATTTCAGTTTCTATGCTTTAACATTGAGCGATCAGACCAACACAGGTAAGGCCAGTGGCACTCGGGTTCGATTCCCAGGTCGGGCAAAGCATTACTGGGATTTAAAAAAAAATTCTCAGTGGTAGCTCGGAGTTACATGGGACTCACAACATAAATAGTGAAAAGTGGGTGTTACTTCTGTGTGCACCTCTGCCTACCCCTTTGGGGATAAAAGGCGTGATATTATGTATGTTATGTATGTATTTGGTCACCAATATCTTGAGCTTTACCATGATTCACTAATAACTGGGAAAATATTTAGTTCTATTCTGCTGAAGGAATGAATTTGTAGCAAGCAGTATGCAACTGCAGATAAACGGTCATGCAGCAGAGATGCGACATAAAATACATATAACTAGGCGGCTCAAAGTAAAAAAAATCTTGAGGATGCTTCGCGGGGGGAGCGAAAAATATGTCGAGTATGGTTCGAGTGATTTTTTGCGTGTCGTACCTATGTGTATTTTGTGTCGCATCTCTGCTGCACGTGCGTTTATCTTCGGGCTAAGGCGGTGCTGCATATTATTGCACGCTGCAAATTCATTCTTTCAGCGGAATAGTTACTAAATATTTTCCCAGGTGTATCTGAAGCATGTATTTCCACAAAGTAACGCCTAATCCTTCTAGATATATAATAGTAAATAGTAATATATATATTGCCATATATGTTTATATATATATATTTATATGCTCTCATAATTGTATATTTTTTAGGTACTTTAAGTGACACTATGTGTGGAGAACTCAGAAATAAGTATGCAACACCAATGGCGATTTGCTACTGTTTTGCATGGTTCACCAATAATCTTGTCCTTTTTTGGATATATTCTTGGGTTCTTCATATCATTCCTGCATACATTGCGGATGCAGTTGCTTCTTGTTTTGGATACACAAGGAGGTAAGAACTCTCTGAGATTTGTTGTGTGACATCTTGTAACGTGTTATGTTATCAATATGATACCTTTAAACGATCAATTCTTCTTTACAAATGTATTGCTCCAACGATTGCTTAAACGACGATAGAGGTTGAGTATCCCCCCCACCTTCCCCAATCCCCAACAATCCTAAAATTCCTAATCCCCAAAAGCGCGATAACGCACTTATAACACCTCTGCCGCCTCCAGTGTTCCGGGTGTCTATGGGAGACACCGATTGCTTATCATTAGTAGATCCATTCGCTTGCTGACCGGCTTATCCCATATAAGAGTATTAGAATTGATAAATCGATCTAGCTAGGTTACAGATACAGTTTACTAAAAAAAATAACCTTACTAAGTCTGGTCAAGGTAGCATTATTTAAAATAAAATCTTTTTTTATTTTAAATTATTATTATTATTATTGATAACCAGTGTTTATCCTTTTTACCGATTTCAGAAAAGGATACAAATAACGTCCAGTTTCTTGTTCTTTTTGTGTGATCATGTTTTCTAGATAAGGCGTTGACGTATTATACATGAAATAAATATTGTTTCACATTTCAGATTTGCAAAATTAGCTCAAAAATTGAAAAAGATGAGCATAGCCTTATCTTACTTTGTGAGAGGTCAGTGGAATTTTGTGGACCAAAACACATTGGCACTATATGACAGTCTGTCTAAAGATGACCAGCAAATCTTCAATTTCGATGTAGCGAACATAAATTGGCTTGAATACGTAATAATATGGTGTCTTGGTTTAAGGAAACATTTTTGCAAGGATGGTCTTAAAGACACATTATACGGGTGCAAAAAACAAGCTATTTTACGCATCGTAGCCTTCGTAGTACTACCTTTGTATATATACTGTTTATTGATGGTTGCATATTTTTCTATTACTTGGGTGTATTACTTCATGATGTTTGTTTTATCGCCTTTTAAGTAAAAGTTGATTGTCAATGCGTTTAAAATTTATCTTTATCATCATTCTAAGTGTGGGAGAGCCATGCTTCGGCGCGAATGGGCCGGCTCGACCGGAGTGATACCATGGCCTCACAGAAAACCGACTTGAAGCAACGCTTTCGTTGTGTTTCGTCGTATGACCTCCGCTTCCCCAATCTTCCCAATTCCCGTATCCCCAACGATCGTCAAAGTCCTAATTCCCAAAAGGCCGGTAACGTTCTTGTAACGCCACTGGTGTTCCAGGTGTCCACGGGCGACGCCGATTGCTTACCACCAGGTGATCCGTCTGTTCACATACCGGCTCATGCTTTAAAAAAAATCGACTATCCTTTGTCAATTACTAACATAAAACTTTATATAATTAATCTGACATGAAAATGTTGTAATGGTAGTTTTAAGGTTAGTTCTAAAATATAATTTTCCTTATTTATATATTCTGTTTACATATGGTTCATTGACTATATTATAACTTTTATGAGACATACTATATTATTAGTTGGTAATTAGTCTAGTTCATTGAGTTTTAGTAAACCCAACTTACATAATTAAGTTCGTAAAAAACTCTAATGGGCCATTGAATGAAATGAACCCCTTAAATCTAGCACTAAGCCCTAAGTTTGCTAACATAGGTAATCAATTTCATTAAGTAGGATAGTTAGGGTCCTCTAAATAACGCCTTCAAAGCAAAAACAGGCGTATAAACTAGATTGTCAAGGACGAGACTTAAAAATAAATTGCGATCTTTAAAAAATGAACAACACGGATTTATAGTGTCTTACCAAAACTAAATAGTTACAAAATCGGTTTTTCCTAGAAACCAATTTGTGACAGTAATTTTTCACACGTCCCACAAGACACAAAGAAACACAGAAATGTACTGCTAGGATGGTGCCCCGGGAGTCCCTTTGAAATTAACGCTACAAGTGCTGCTAACAATTGCCTTAATAAAGTGTTTTATTGGACTATTGATAGACACCGGTATTATTGATTAACATTTTTACTTAACTACATCTATATGCGCACTGCGCAGTTTATTTTAAAAAACATGGCCTTATTAAAAATTACACTGATAGAGGTTATCTCTTACTTGGCAAATATGAATGCACGTGTATGTGCCCCGGGCTGAAGGTATTGCTTAAATTGCAATTTACAAATTATAAAGGGCAATTCATAACAGTACCCTTGAACCTACTTTCTTATAAGTCCCATATATTCAGAGGTAAAGAACATAATATTAAATTTGTGTAACGAAAATACAACATCTCTACAAACACAAACACACATTCCTATACACAGCTATATTATAAATCAACGATAAAATGTGTGGATCATAAACCTTAGTTTTACGAGCTGCTGACTCAAAATGTTAGAAACCAATTTCATAAAACACACGTTGGGCCTATTTTTATGTTATTGGCTGGAAAACAAGAGGACGATTCACCTTATACCAATGGGTACACTTTTTTTGAAGAGTAAGGATGTTTTATTTACGAATAATCTAAAATATTAGACTTAGCGCCGGTTTCACCACCTCTATATAAGTACCTTAAACTTATGTGACAGATAGTTCATATAAATTACGTTCTTAATTCAAATTTATTTGGTAGATAACGGCTATCCAGATATTGTGAAACAGGCCCCTAGTATCTACATTTTTTATGGATTTGGACTTCGGCTTAACTAATTAACTTGTGAAGTGTTGGAACACAGATCTACGCGAAACAGAATGTTTTCTATTGAGTCTCATATATCGACAGGCAAGAGGTCAAGCTGATCTATTACTAACTAGTTTCTGCTCGCGACTTCGTACGCCTAATCCCATTTTTCCTGTTCCCATAGGATTTTTAGAAAAACTTTGGATAAAATGTATCCTATGTCGTCGCCCCACCAATTTTCAATTAAATTGGTTTAGCTGTTCTTGAATTATTAGTTACTAACAGGACTTTGTCTGTGTAACTAGATTAGATTATTCATGTTATGCCAATATAAATATTCATTTTACAATATCACTTCATTATTCATTAAGATTTAAATATTAGGTACCCAATAAACACAAATTAATACACAATTTTGAGCATATTTAAGCGAAAAAAACAAAAACATACAAACATGATGTGAGGACGTCTGCAACGTATGATTTAGAATGTAACCTATCCCTTACGATAGATATTTACCTATCGTAACGTAGGCACAGTATTCTACTTGTAAAACAATTGAAACAAATGAACTTATTTCTGCAAATAGTCTACAAGGCAGCACTTTTACACGTCAATTTTATCAAGCGAACGATGAGGCCGACATTTCCTGACTACTCTGACAAGAAATGTCGAAACAAACTCAGGGGTCCGTCTCTTTTAGAGTACTTGACTAGTTTCAAGTCGTACTAGAAGCTCATATTTATGACCAGCATTCTGCGATACATGGTGGGGTAACTGTGGCTCTGGTACTGACTATTCAAGTCTGGATGCCCGACGCGCGCTTTGCCGTGATTCATGCGCACTTTCTTCTATCTGCGGTGATGGAGCATTATATTTATAAACACCCTTTACTACACACACGTACACAACAAAACATTACTTTTGCTTTTCTTTCATACCTAGTTTTATTTTTACTTTAGCTATTCATAAAAATTAATCACTTTCCAAAAGACTATCTGTCTTGGTTCTCATTTGAAAATTAAACATAAAACTCACTTTCAATGTGACCCTCACAAAGTTTCTAAGTATTCTTTGCAGCTACTTAATTTGTAAATTCTTCCTAGATTGAACGTTTAATTTTCTTACAAACTTTGAAAATTAAAACTAATTTAGTTGAGGTTAAATGAGAGTTTTTACACTTTTATTATAATTAACTACGAAGAAATTTCGCTTTCATTGGTCGCAGGTGTATTTTAAGATTTTTAACATAACAATACGACTGACTCCCTGATGTAGGTATAGACAGAGGTATAGTAAGTGTGGGAGACCATGCTTCGGCTCGACCGGAGTGATACCACGGCCTCACAGAAAACTGACGTGAAACAACGCTCACCGATCACCCCCTCCCCACCCTTCCCCAATCTCTCCTATTCTATGTTGTTCCAGATATCCATGGGCACGCCGACATATCCCATATAAAAAAATAAAGAGGTTTTTTCTAGGAAACTTCCTTTATATCAGTTATGTTATCCATTCGATTTGATTGTAAAAACAAACAATCCTGTCATTGACCCTTTTTTATTAATGTACACAGCATGTTAGTATGAGGTAGTTTTACATCAAATGAGAGAGATCAAAACATTACAGCGTTCGGCGCTCTGATTGGCTTGCTCCAATGAACCAACTGTTACAGTCACATATTTTATCGCTCACTTTATTTATATTTGTGACTTATAATATTATCTAAGTATTTCAAACACTAAAATGCCGAATAGTAATATTATGGATTGATTTGGTTTTCGAACGTGGCAACACTATCCCTGTCGGGTATTCGCGCGGTTTTGTTTTTGACAGCAACAGATTAATTTTTGTAAAACAACGTAAAACAAGTGAATACAAATTATTAATGAACAAGTCTGAGTTTTAATTAAGATCACCATCCTTCTGAGCGTTTTACAACCAATAACGATTTTTTTTTTTTTAATAACGTTTGGAACTCGTTAAAAGTAAAATAATTTTGTACTAGGTCCTCAGAACTGTTAAGAAAATTTCAACGTTTGTAACTTAACTGGTCGAGTACCGTCATTATAGACACAATTATAGAACAATAGGTTGCGGTCACCGGTGACCGCTTAGTGTTTGACAGTTTAATTGTTTTCTATTTATAACATACTAGCTTTTACCCGCGGCTTCGCTCGTGCCACAAATGGATAAAAGTAACCTATGTGACATATACACACAACGCCATCTATGCCAATACTTTTGTTTTCCCTCGGGAATATCAAATTTTTCCGGGATAAAAAGTACCCTATTATTTAATCCGGACTTCTAACTTTACGTCTGCAAAAAATCAAAGCAATCGGTTTAGTAGTTACGGTGTGAAAGCGGAACAAACAAACAAACAAAAAACGATAAATCATTTCACAATAGGTGAATCTTGTTTGATGCATCAGAATCAATTCGCACTGAATTGATGAAGCAGATGATGAATTCTGTCAGAAGTCATTAACCTACCAACAGCTAGTGGTACATAAAACAAATTAAACATAATGCAAATAATATACACCACAATACCCTTAAAATAAACAACTTTTTGTTTAAGAGAATTTTAATGAAACCTGCAGACAAGAGACGTGCGGACAATATGCATAATGTCGTGCACACGTGTCGAGCTCATGTTTTGAATTATTGCTGTATTACCCTCACCCTGTATGTTTCACTTTAACACTTAAATTATGTATATGTTTAACAATATCTGGGTAGCACCAATGTGAACTGTTTTCAATACAATGTACTTTTTTGGTTTGGATATACATGTGTTGGAGGTAAACAACATGGTAACATGCATTTTATTCTTTAAACGGATAGCCAGGTATAGACACATTATTAGTGACATCCATGGAATAGTTTCCATGGTTCTTTAAAAAAAAAACGTTGCCCCACACTATCCTGTGTCGTAGGTGCGTTTACAAACATACACTTGACAACCAGACCCGGAACAACAATTTGTGGTTTATACCAAGAGTTGTTCCGTGCGGGAAGCGAACCGGCGACACGTTCCGCAGCAGCCGGTTGCCCAGCCACGGCGTCAATCGTGCAGTCATATGGTGACACCCCATGTGACATACATTGTTCGATAAATATGTTGAGTTTAACATCCATTCTGACCTCTCTGGCGCATCAGGAGGGAGGAGAGTTCAGAATCTGTAATATACTCGATGCTGGACGAAGAGTTTAATGTAATATGAGACGAGTCTG